CAATCGATCAGATGATGAACAGTCTGAATAAAATTATCCATGGATAGGCCTTGTTCGGTTAGTTCAGTGTGTAGTCGGTCTACCTTAGTCGCAACTGCCAACCAGATTAGCACTCCGTTAACTGTTGGACTGTGAGTAGTCTGTTGCAATACCGAAATCGAGTGTCATTCAATGAAAAATAGGATACAACGAGTGAATTACTTTCTCGAAACTGTTGGTAAACCATACCTGACAAGTAGGGGGGAATAAGTTTGTGACCTTAACCCGCGACTGAGATGTGGGCTATAGGGACATCGATTGAATAATAACCGCCTACATAAAACACAACCGGTCGCATCAGTATCAGGTTGCAGAGAACATCACGATTTCCTATTACTATGGTGACCCACCACAGTGGGGATAGTCATGTTATCTGAGCCCGGAGGTCGCGACGACACCGCGTGTCAACACCTCCAGCCGAAATGTCTCCGGTATCAAACAATTGCACGGATAATCAGCTGTCAATTAGCTCATTGTCTGGACGCTTTTGACAGAACGGCAGATAGTTGAACACAGTCGACAGACTTCTACTGAACAAGGTTGCAACAAGGGGTTTGAAGTTTCCTCAGCTTTAAGGATCTTGACACCGAGGATGAGTACAATATGAGCACTAATTTGTTATCATAAGCCAGCTGTGAACTCAATGACGGTAACTGAGCGGTTGTTCACACGAAAAAAACGAATGCAAAATCAGTCTCCAGGTTGTTTTCGACCGAGAACCATGAAAGCTGCATTTTACTGAGTGAACAATCACACAGAATCCACTACATAAGCCAAGTGGACAAAGGCACGATATGTTTTAGGCAGAATCTCCAAATCCCCCTTTTTATTTCTATCTATGCAAACTTCCCTCTGGACAGACTTTAGAAGTTGACTCAAACAGAAACCACTGCGATGGCTGTCGCCAGACACGATTTCGAAATGACCATGCAAGCTGATCATCTTCCATGTGCCTAATGCAGACTGATAGGCAATTCGCCATCCCGCTACTGTAAACGGAAAACCCAACTGCAAAAAAGACAAATTATTTTACTTGACAGAATCTTTTGGTACTTTCTCAGACTGGATTTGTGACAGTTTGGTCGGAAATACGGAGTGCTGGGCGATGGGAACACTTGGTACAAGCGATGGTTACCCCTCTGAAGAATTCGGTTAACAGCACATCTTGTACTTCAAGTCGATCACGTTGTGGAGAACCAGTTGAGGAAGTGTCGGTCAAGTCTTGCCCATGAATCCCGAATAGTACATCTCGGTCCCGCTGCCTCCAGAATTTCCTCTTGACACCTATTTTCAGCTGTCTCACTAAGGTATCCAAGGGTGACGGCCGAATAAGGCACCATTTCGGCATTTATCGCAGAGAAGTGCTCTTCTCTGCCCCTTACTAACGCAGTTTCAGTGTAAACGAAGCGTGACTTCTAGTGTGCAATCCAATCCAACGACAGAAAGGTGGTTAGCTTCGCTAACATTTGAGGCATGAAATCAGGTTGGACAACTGAGAGTAGCTGTGATAGTTCACCTTTCAACCTATCTCACTTTCCGACTTACAGGCCAGTTACTCAGGAAAGTGCCCATAACGTAGCTCCACGAATCTCAATTTGGTTAATTCAGTTATCCACCACCCCCACCCCCCATTCGAGCTCCCCTGCCTGACACAATAAGATGTCATTAAATTGATGTGGGATAAGAAAAAGACATCTATCCGACAACAGGGATCTTTACGCCATGGCAACTGACGCTTAACCCCAGGCATGTGTTTACACCTTAGTAGCACGGTCTCTCTTGCTTCATTAAACCTGATCCACTGAACTAAGGTGGAGGAGCAGGCCAGACTCGATGTGCGATTGCGTAATCTCTCGGCTGCACGCGAGTAACATGGAGGGTGGAACTTGTCAAGCGACCACTGATTTATCGAATGGACGGTTGATGGTGCTGGCTTGATGACAGGACCGCCAAAAACGACAGGTAGTACGAGTTGCTAGAGGTGACTAGATGAAGGATTAACGCCCGCGCACACACACAAAGATATTTGTCCATCTTTTAGTGATCAAATAAATTGGTTGTTTGATCCCTTCTTATGTGTTAAACGTCAACAGGGGGAGAGAGCAAATGATCCGAGTGTGCGTTTTGATTCACTCGGTTTTATGATCCTCATTCCATATTAGCACAAACGGGTCGCCTTGGTCAGCTTACTGACTCTCTGGTGGACATGCCATCTAAAATGCGAGGTTCAACTTCTGGCAAGTATAAAAATCGTTTATCGTGGTTGACGTTGTCCTGCAATCACACAGACTGACAACATCTTCGCAAATTAAGTTAGTCTCCGCAGACAGCAGATGTATGACCTGGAAAATAAGAATACCTTGGCATCAGGTGGTTGAATTATCATGACTGGGTGAAACAGTGTTTTTGGTGAGAAGCAATGTACAACTGTTTTATCCTATTCGGGAATCATTAGCAGTGCCCATCTCACGAAGCTCAGTGAGGTTACAAACCCATGACTTCCAGGCTAGTGGTTTGAACCACCAACCGGCCAGGAGCGGCTGATAAGCGGTGTGATTAAGTCGCACCCAAGTGGGATGTAAATCGTCACTCATTCTTTAATCACGAGATCGACACCACGTGACTCCTCGAGTGACGACTTATCAGATGGAAGCTTTCCTCGTCACATGAATTATATTTCCTGTGAGCGATTTATAGACTGCTAATTGGTGCGAGTAGGGTTAAGAGTTTTCAACTGAGATCTCATTCTGAAAATGAAACCAGTCTATACTGAAAAACCAAGAAGCAGTGCACAGGATGAATCTCACGAAATTCCAGGGAGTATGGTTACTGTTTCTAATCACAGTTGTATTGGGTTAAGTTTGGAATCGATTTTTTGCCTTCAGGTACCCAAACTGGGCTCAGTGGTTGCCTGTAGGATGCCGGTGTAAGGAAGAAGGCCTTCGCTGCGGAGTTATTTATTAGAAAGTGCCAAATGAACAGTTACAGACTATTGGACAGGGAAGCAAAACTCTCATATGCATATTGTTTACAAAAAACTGAATATCTATCCTCTCTTTGAACGCGGCTTCCTGAACTTTTCTGGATATTCAGTGACTGTTGCTCAAATCCAAGCAAATGTTACAAAGTGACTCCAAAAATTCCGTAATAGTTCTCACTTTTCAAGAGACGCGAGGTGGATTTACGAAAAAGCATACTACTCGCATGACTCCCCCATCATTAGTATCACCGCATAAGCGACATTATTCAGTGGAAAGTGTTTCTCACCTTCCCCCGTGAAGATGTCTGCCGACCTAATGCTGACGATGAAAATCATCGAGGATGAGTTCGAAATTTAAAAAAGCAACGAAGCTCGTTTTTACCGAAGATGTACCACGAAAGTGTCCCCCTCCGTTCTTGTTGGGTTAATTACATTCAGAAAGAAAAGTTTTTGTCATTGTGAATTAACCTTTAAATCTAAAGAACAGAACAACTACAGAACCAGTTTTCTGTTACAACAAGAGTGGACTGAATGCCATCCATTATACAGTCAACATATAATAATACTTTAATAAAAATAATCGTTCGTCTGTAGCACCCATTTGGGCCTAGCGGCCCATGCTGCACAAAGGGAGCACGAGGGCTGAGGTACTGCCAGTTTCCCCAAAGCTAGACGGAAGCAGTCGAGATGCCGAGGTTGAATTCGAACCACGGACCTTCCAAGAAACAGGTTTGTCTCACAACCACCTCGGGTTCAGTGATATAATATGATAGTAACGGCATCATATCATGTCTAAGAAAAAAGTATTTTTCGTCTATTTGTATAGGCAGGTCACTTGCGATTTTGCGCACTTCGGACGACTGATGTGCAACTCAAATAAATCACCATTTTTTCCACCTCGATTGTAATCGCATACGAATCAGAACCCCCGAAAACTTCATAGCTTTGAAATCAGGCAGAAGGCGGAGCGCATTTGTAAAATATGGCTAAAATATGGCGGACGGTCTAAGGCCATAACCGGACATGAGTCAGGACTGATGTGAGGACGAATCGACTGTGTTTGTGCCCTTTACGGATGACTGCTACTGTTACGTGTCAGGGAAGTGGGCGAGGTCGCCTGCAATTTCGTACCATACACACCTCTGTGGATTCAGGGGTCAAGACCCATCAACTCAAGTTGGGCAGTAGTATTAGGAGACGCCAGGCGGCTTGACAACCAAGGCAATAAACGAGTGGATTCATCAGAGAGAGAGAGAGAGAGAACAACAAGAACAACCGCATCCGTGTGTGGGCATGGTGAAGACACATTCTGCTGTGAACCAATGATGCATTTTGGCAAAGTGAACAAACAGCAGTCATCCAGTAACTTGGAAGGATTCGGCATCGTTCGGACCACATCTCCGTAACCTGTCGGCGAATGGCTCATCTCTCATCCAAACTATCACCATCTATTCCACTCATCGATTGAATCTCAACGGAAACTTTTCGTTCTATAAATTCTTCCACTGCCTGATTTTGAGTGTGGCTATAGATTAACACCAGACGGAACACATGGCAGTAAACGGACGCCCTTGCAACACAACGGTTACTTCAAGGTGGAAGAAACCCGCTTGCATTAAAAGGTGGTCGAAGAGTTCCATTTTTTAAAGAAAAATTCATGTTAGATAGGTTGATAAACCCTGCTTTATGGTCGGATTAGAACTTTGTCACAATTATGTGCATGTTTATCACGATTGATCTTCAATGTATCTGCCCAATGGACCTATGACCGAAGGTTGTCAGTGTGCTTAATGCACTTCGTGCGTAACCTCTACAATGCACCAAACGCACTGACACAAGGTAGAAGAGAATTTAATAATGTTTCATAGTGGTGCATACGAAAAACGAACAACAAGACAACTACATGAAGTGGTCACAAACCACCGAACTCCCGCTTGTTAGATGAGCAATCTGCCAGTTAGGCTGCTGATGACATAGCCAAATGGATGTCAGTGGTTCGAGTTCATCCCCAGGTGTCTGCTTTTTCTGTTCACATTACATGAACTAGAGTTTTCGATACAAAATGGTCGCTTTATTTGAGACAAGAGAAGAAACGCTCTTGAGAGCTTTGTCAGCTAACTGTTTGATGTGCATGCGCTTGCAGATCAATCACGCCCTTGCAACAGTGAAAACCCGACGAGTTGTTGCAATGCGCATAGAAAGGTTCCACAACCGATTGTTCAGATGATATAACACCAACGTTCTATGAGGGGATTAGGGTCAATAGACCTGAAGATGCAGGCTTCACCTTCTGTCATTGCTTGTGAGAAGGATTCTAGTTGTAAACTAAACCAAAGAAACGAAAACACTTCTTTCTTGGAGGCATTGCCTATTCGGAGATTGCCTCGGTGTGAAGTGTACTTAACTTAGTTTAGGTGGTTATTCTGTAACTGCGTTAGATGATGCTTCGTATTGTCATACTGTTGTGGATAAGTCAAGCACTCCCATGCTGAAATAATCCTGAAGATTGATCTAAAACATTTTACTCAATGAATATATGCATTCTGGCTTTTCTCACGCACCTAACGGTGTATCGCAGTACACATTTTCAAGTTCTCTCAACCTCTTTTCTCTCTCTAAAGCTACTGCACGAGTGCGTCCCCAATGGTAGGTACTTTTTCATGCTTTCCTGACTTCTGTCTTGTTTGCTTCAAATTTTGAAGCCCCAAGTTTAAGTTCAAACCTTTCATTCACTTCTTGCAGATAATGAAGGAACATCCGAGGAACAGTCCCTTGATTTAACGACGCCGGAAGTCTCGTTTCCGAACACCCCGTGCAGCAAGGCGTGGCAACAACTGCTGAGCAGTGTTTGTCATGTCACTGCGACGACCCATGCAAATGCACAGAGGCTGGCGCAGCTTTGGTTGGCGGGCCTGTATCCATCTTGGCCATACCTAATGTCCGAATGTGAAAAACAGACACCTGATTCTACCGCAAGAATCTATTTTGAAATGGCTGAAAAGCACCGCAAAGCAATGTCAACTTTCATCTCAACAACACCTACGGTGAATCCGTTCAGTGGGACGAACGAAGACTCGTCTATGGCAGTTGAAGGAGATGTAAAAAATAGGTTGCACCATGAGTTGAGCATGAAACGGTTTTTAGACGCATGTAACAATGAATCGATGGGTGAGGCGAACACCAACCCCATCACGAAGGAACCTAGCGACACTTGCCAAACCGGTTTGTACAATTCAAAGAGAAGAAAAAGACGTGTACTATTCAGCAAACTTCAGACATACAAACTGGAACAGAGATTTAGCAGGCAACGCTACCTTACAGCTTCAGAACGAGAACAGCTTGCCAGAATGCTGGACTTGACGCCAACTCAGGTAAGCTCTGGCCATATTTTTGGGTGATTTCTTTTGCCTACTGATATGCTTATAAGTAGCTAATCACAATATGAACCAATTGTCGATTGCGTGGAAATACCTCGTCATGCCATTGGTCAGTATGACGGCTACAGCTTTATGAATAACCAGTACTCATAACTAAACTTTTCACTACTTTCCTGGTTGCACTGTTGCTCCCAGTGCGTTCCGTTTTCGTCAGTGCTTCCACTTATGGACAGTTTGAATCCTGTATTATCCACACACTTCAGTTTAACTACACAGAACATTTAATTTCATCTTCCGATTAGAGCTGACTACCTGACCTTAGTTTGCTTACACCATTAGCTTGAGCTGTAATCGAAGTAACCTACATTTTGGCGCACTTCAATAGGCTTTTGATAGGATAATCTTGAAATGAATTCTATTCCAAGAAGGTGTCCTCATCTTATTAGATTCCTTACCACTTTCAACCATTTTATTTCCCCTGAATCACTTAGAACGACATTTTTAATTTTTCTTTTGACTCTGAACAGGTCAAAATTTGGTTTCAAAATCATCGTTACAAGTTGAAGCGAGTCGGAGAAGACAGCTCACGGATATGCGATTCGACATCTCCACAGCTTTTCAGTCCAACAACATCAGTCGGAGGAGTTGTTCAGGCCAACGATTTTACAGTCATCTGGGACGAACACCAGTTACTTGCAAGGACAAAGGAACTGCAGTATGAGGACCCGATAAGTTCGGCAGACAAACTGATGGGCTGTCCGAAAAAAGTTCTGCATTCAACCTCGCCAAATTCGGAGCTTCATTTACAGGAATCAAACCATTATGTTCCCAGAACCACTGGGTACTCTAAAGCATCCGCACAACTACTCTGTCGAGGAGAACTGCCAAAACTCCACAAAACTGTATAATCGTTCGGAATCCGACAAGTTCCTAGTTGGCCATGTGATACTTACTCCTGTCTTACAGGCAGCAAAAATTCTTCCAAAAACCGCACTTTACAGTTGGCGAAATTGTCGAATGTGAACGATATATCCTGGAAAAATGAGCGCCCTAGCGCGCTGAGTTAGCGCTCCCAAATGCCATCCAGACGATTTTGTGCTACTTATTATTATCTCAGTAGATGGTTGTTGCAATAAAACGTCTGGAGCGCATTGATTGCTTGCTGTACTTTGGGCTACCGTTTCTAAAATCAGTCGGTGGGTTACAAATCCGAAGGTAAGTTGAACCCAGATGGTTCGAGGCGTGTGACGCATAAACGTTTTCACTGGTACCTGAACAGCTCGCATAAACGTTTTCACTGGTACCTGAACAGCTCTCATGATCATTTGCGATCACACACTGGCTGCTGAAGTAAGTGAGACGAACCATTACGTGGCGGGAAATGACGAGATAATACATGGTATTTTCGCGGCTTCAGCTTACTGTCAGGTCACTGGGAAAGCCGCTTTTGAATAGAAGAAAATGAGACGGTGCGCGAAATAAATTGGGAGAAAAATAAGGGGAAATCCTTGAAAGAAATGTGGTTTTTGATTGCGGGCTAAGACTTGGGGAATATTAACGGAGATTTCGTCCCATATCTGAAGACAGTTTATTCTGAAAAGGCTTTCAGCGTAGATTGACCTCACTTGAAAAACGACATATTCATAGATAACTCTAAAATTTACTCACCCGATGAGTTAAACTTCTATCTGAGGAATGGTCATTCGAGGAACCAGTTGACCATGTGGTCTGGTTTGAGTGAGTGATGGATACTCGATGCTGTATCCTGTGCTCATAATTCCCACGCGGTAGAACGGTTAACTGTTCGAACCACTGGCCAGTAGGTCACTGGTTTGAGACATCCTGAAGTCTCGTGAGATGCGCACTGCTGATTGTTCGCTTTAAGAATGAAGTAACTGTACACTGTTTGTCGGTTTTTCACCATAGATCGGCTTCGCTTCACCATAAATATGAATTGGCTACACAGCGGTCGTTTGAGTTCAGTCCGAATCGGTCTGAAGTGTTGTCAGTGGACCTCAACATGAAAAGCTATAGGTATACATCCCATCTCGTGCGTTAAAGATGTGTCATCGCCATACGCAACGAAACGTATTGCATCTTTAGGTGAAATAAGAACTGAGATATCTGAAGCACCCAGTGACAATGCCTAATCGTCATATCGTACACGTGAGTGCGTATCGAACGAAGTTACTCTTACTAGTATGCACAACAGATGTTCAGGTTGCAATCCGTTAGGGTGGTTTTGAACAGCAATCAAGAACAGCCTCGGTTCCATGTAAGACAGCCTGAGCCGACGAGCGTTCGGCTGCTCCTTTGATTGGTTTTTATTTACATGTAACCGAAATACTGGTGTAACGGTGATACTCCTGACGGAGGAGGCATGCGAGTAGTATGCTTTCTCCTAAATTATCATTGCATCTCCTGAAAAGTGAGATTTATTGCGGAATTTGTGGAGTCTCTTTGTGGCATCTGCTTAGAATTGAGCAACAGTCAGTGAATATCCAGGGAAGAGAAGATGGATATTCAGTTTTTGTAAACAAGATACATATGAGAGTTTTGCTTCCCTGTCCAATAGTCTGTAACTGTGCACTTGGCATTTTCTAATAAATGACTCCGCGACGAAGGCCTTCTTTCTTTCACTGGTAGATGGTCCTGTTTGAGATGCGGTGGTAACTTTTGGTACCGGGCTGGCCTGTCCACAGTGGTGGCATATGACCACATAACGTCACAAAGTCTCTTCGGCAAATAAAGCGAATTTAAGGTATGTTTAGGGTGAAAAGATGAAAAAGGGTGGTCAAAAGATGGATGTTCGCCTTCACAAACAGAGATTAACTGATATGAAAGGAGCGCCGTCTAAAAGGTTAGGTAGAATCCGATGCGGTTCACGCCTCCTGAATTCTCGCGGCTCTGTGTGCTGATAATGCCTAGGTGAAGCAAATTCTCATGTCGAATGGTTGGGTCAATGATAA